ACTGACAGTGGTATGCACTTCGAGCGGCATGCTCTGGAAGTGGCTGGTGATGCCCCAAGGGCTGTCAAATGCACCAGCAACATTTAATCGTCTTGTGACGCAGTTGTTCAGGCCCCACAGGGCGTATGCACAGACTTACTTTGACGACATTTTAGTTCACAGTCGTGCGAAGCACTGGAGGACGGATAAGGAGAACCACATCGTTCATCTAAGAGCGGTGCTCGAGTGCATGCGCACGAACAAACTGTACGCCAATGCAGACAAGTGCTTCTTTGGCGCAGAAGAGATTCCCTTTTAGGGTTCTTCATTGGGAAGCGTGGCCTTCGAGCGGATCCCGCTAAGGTCAAGGCCATTGTAGATTGGTCGGTACCAAAGAGCCATTGGTCTTTACTTGCACAAGTACATCGTAAACTACGCAGAATGACCCGGCCATCATCCAATCTCCTTAAAAAGGATGCGGAATGGTGTTGGAACACCGAAGATCAGGAGGCTTTTGACGGGGTCAAAGATAGCCTCCTGCATGCACCAATACTGGCGCTGCCAGACCCTGATCGTCCTTTCGGCGTCGTCTGTGACGCTTTGAACACCGCCATCGGCTGTGCACTGCTGCAAGCAGACACCGAGGGGCGAGACCGGGTGATCGCATTCAAATCTCGACAGCTCAAAGCTGCAGAGAAGAACTACCCACTTCTTGACAAGGAGTTACTCGCGATGAAGTATGCACTTGTCAAGTCTAGGGTCCACCTGCTCGGCTCCAAGCCGTTTGTGATCTATACAGATCATGCGTCAATATGCACTGCTACTCAGTCGCCCCACCACTCGCAGAGGATGGCTAGATGGCTATTCTTCTTTGCGGAATATAAATTCGAGGTGAAGCATAAGCCGGGAAAGTAGAATGCTTTGGCTATAGCGTTGTCACGCAGACCAGACTATGAGCTTGCTGTATCGTCGTCTGTGAAACATTTGATCCACACCGCGTATGCGGGTGATAGGATGTGTGTAGCGTTGCTACGGGCTCTAGGGAGCAAGGGGGTTTGGAAACTCGGACAAGAAATTGTCACCAAGACTGCGTGCACGATTGCACCGATATTCGTTGAATAATAGGTTGCTATTTTATAGCACGATTCAACGGATACACCACGAATTGCGGTTCCTCATGATGAGGATTTAAAATACCGCATCCTCTATGTAGCTCACGACACGCCACTCAGTGGTCATCTCGGTCGTGAGAAAACGTACAACTCTGTGAGTCACCACTATTGGTGGCCCAAGTTGTACAAATGGACGAGTTCCTATGTGCGCATGTGTGAAACGTGTCAACGGGTGAAACCCTCTCCAAATGCGGCTGCGCCTCTGGCCAGCAAACCCGTACCCAATGGGTACTGGCAGTCCATGAGTTTGGACTTTGTGTTTGGCCTACCGAAAGATTCGGCGGGCAACACGGGTATCGTGGTATTCGTCGACAGGTTGAGCAAGATGGCGCATTTGGGGGTGGTGCCAGACACCATCGACGGAGTCGGTACAGCAACGCTGTTTGTAGATCGTGTTTTT